GAAGCTTAGCCCAATTGTATTGTTGGTGGGGTTCAGAGGTGAACTATAAACCCAGCAACTACAACTCCCAAATGTCAAGGTTTATTTTTCCCAAACTCCACCAGTGTTCACATTTGAGCATATTGAATATTGATGCCAAGTTTGGTCCACATCCATCATTGTTTGAGTCCACGGTTTTCTCTGGATGTAGGTGAACTACAACTCCCAAACTCAAGGCCAATGCCCACCAAACCCTTCCAGTATTTTCTGTTGTTCATGGGAGTTCTGTGTGCCAAGATTGGTTAAATGCCATCATTTGTGGAATTCAGAATGCTCTTTGATTGTAGGTTAACTATAAATCCCAGCAACTACAACTCCCAAATGACTAAATCAATCCCCACTCCCAACCTCACCAGTATTCAAATGTGGGCGTAACAGGTACTTGTGCTAATTTGGTTCAATGAATGAAAATACATCTTGCCTATCAGATATTTACATGACGATTCATAACAATAGCAAAATTACAGTTATGAAGTAGCAACGAAATTAATTTTATGGTTAGGGTTCACCACAACATGAGGAACTGTATTAAGGGGTCGCGGCATTAGGAAGGTTGAGAACTACTGCTATACAGGGACTGGGTCCTCATTGGCTTGTATTGGCATGCTTGACTGTCACTTCATGGACTCTTCCTAGGATCACCAAGCTGTGCCAAAGTAGTTTAATCAAATTTCCATAGTCACCATTAGTCACCTCCCCACCACATCTCATCTTAATGATACTTCTGTTGCTGAAGTAGAATTTCTGCTTGGTTTCTGCCTATTGATTCTGGAAGAAGAGACTGGAAGTGCTTCCAGAAAGTCCATTTACACCCTGGTCAAAATGTTTGTGTGAGTGTTACATGCAGGGCTGGCTGTACCACTAGGCGGAGTAAGATGGTCACTTCAGTCAGCAGTGAGGGGTCTGAGGACAGAGGATGTGCTGTAAAGACAGGTCTGCAACCCTTCAACTAGCCTGCTTCTTGCAGGAGCCCTAGAGAAACCTGATTCTGTGCTGCTATACATAATTTTATGTTTTGTAATTTGGTATAAATAGAGATAAAGGTCTTGAGCTTTCTCTGTCAAAACCTGGTGAACCATCCAGTCCAACCTCTTACCATGCAGAAATGCACCATGAAATCCCTCCTGACAGGTGGTCATCCAGCCTCTGTTTAAAAACTTCCAGAGAAGGAAAATAGTTCATGCCTAGGGCACTTACATGAGCTGCCTTCCTTTGGTATCTTTCCTTGACCTTTTTCTATGGGTTCCTAAATTATATGTCTAATTAAAGTGTTGCTATCTGTGTTGTGATGTGCCTCCAAGGCCCCTTCCACACAGCTGAATAAAACCCCACATTATCTGTTTTGAACTGGGATATGTGGCAGTGTGGACTCAGATAACCCTGTTCAAAGCAAATATTGTGGGTTATTCTACCTTGATATTCTGGGTTATATGACTGTGTAGAAGGGCCCCATGTCCTTTCCACGTCATCATGGGAGTTTTCCGAGACCTGGGGCCCTTCCACACAGCCCTAGATCCCAGAATATCAAGGCTGAAAATCCCACAATATCTCCTTTGAACTGGGTTATCTGAGTCCACACTCAGATAATGTGGGATTTTCTGCCTTGATATTCTGGGGTATAGGGCTGTGTGGAAGGGCCCTGAGACACATACTGGATCTACACTGTCAACAGGGCCTTCTCGGTGGTGGCCCCCCTGCTGTGGAACGCCCTACCTGCGGACATCAGACAGGCCCCCTCACTGCTGGCATTCTGGAGGAAGGTCAAGACCTGGCTTTATGAACAAGCGTTTGGCTAATTGTGCAATGAAACACAGTAAGATGGTACAATCGAACACAGGAATTGGTATAAAGGATTATGATTGCGGATTCTGATTTTGATTTGTTTGCTGCGGCGCATGTTTATGTTAATGATTGCTTGATTTGATATGTTTTGTATGTGTTTTAACTGCTTTTTGATGTTGTTGTGTGAACCTTTACTATGTAAACCGCCTTGAGTCGCCTTTTTTGGCTGAGAAAGGCGGTATAGAAGTAAAGCAAATAAATAAATAATGCAGTTTGAACTGCATTATTTGATCAGTGTAGAGTCTGTTTAGACACATCACAATGTCACAAACACTTAATCCAGATTAGTGACCCCACAATCTTCATCTGGGATCTACAGTCACGATGACTGAAGAGGATGAGGTGCTTACCACACCCTTCCCCTACAGGCCTTGGGGATAAAGCAAGGGTCTCAGTCAAGTGGGAAGCAGGAGGGAGGAATTGTTATTACTTCGGACTAATTGAAGAGAAGGCTGTATTTATTTTTTGTTGTTTTTTTTTATTCCCTCACCCTCCAGAATAGTTTTATTTTGTCTCCAGTCTGGAAGGAAAGCTAAAGAGAGACCCAGGGCACTTGGAGTCCTGTGGCTGAACTGCAAAAGCTGCCCTCTCCCTCCTAGTCACTTTGCCCAGTATCCTGGCAGGCCAGTTTATTTTGGCACCTGAGACAGACATGCCCACAAGGGCCTCTCCCTCCTTCCTGGCAGCAAAACACGTCTAGTCACAACACAGCAAATGAGTGCCTTTTTGCTGCCTTTATTGGATGCCAAGCTCTGCTATCATCTCAGGACCACAGGCTATGAAGTTTTGCATCACAGTTGGGAACTGATGAAGCACAACTGCAATTGGAAGGAAAGCGACCCAGCAAAGTGTTTTAGGGTGCAGCCATCTCTCCTCCCCATCCACCTCCATCCTTGCAAAGAGGCATGTTTTCGAAATGCTAGTTTAGCAGAAGCTTGGGCTAAGAGCGGGAGCTCACCCCACTCCCCAGATTCAAACTGCCAACCTTTTGGTCAGCAAGTTCAGCAGCTCAGTGGTTTAACTTGCTGCACCACCAGGTGGCCTGGCTCTAGTAATGATAAAGGTTTCCCTTGACATTAGGTCTAGTCATTTCTAAAGCGGAGTGCCATTACTTCCTGCAGAAGGGGTACCTATTGATCTACTCACATTTTCATGTTTTTGAAATGCTAGGTTGGCAGAAGCTGGGGCTAAGAGCGGGAGCTCATCCAACTCCCCAGATTCAAACTGCCAACCTTTTGGTCAGCAAATTCAGCAGCTCAGTGGTTTAACCTGCTGTATCACCTGGTGGCTTTGCTCTAGTAATGATAAAGGTTTCCCTTGACATTAGGTCTAGTCATTTCTAAACTGGAGTGCCATTACTTCCTGCAGAAGTGGTACCTATTGATCTACTCACATTTGCATGTTTTTGAAATGCTAGGTTGGCAGAAGCTGGGGCTAAGAGCGGGAGCTCATCCAACTCCCCAGATTCAAACTGCCAACCTTTTGGTCAGCAAGTTCAGCAGCTCAGTGGTTTAACCTGCTGTATCACCAGGTAGTGCAGCTTTACAGAATAAGGACTTTGGGAGCTAAGCAGGATCAGCCCTGGTTAGTACTTGGGGGGAGACCACAAATGAATACTGTGTGCTGTGGCTATGTTTCACCAGCAAAATAGTATCTGAATATTCCTTGTCTATGAAATGCATGGGCTCACTGTAAGTTGACAGGGAACTATATGCACACTCAATTTACACAAGTCTGAAACAGGGCCAGAAAGACTTTCTTGCTTGGCTAGGTCGAGCCCCATTTAAGACATGAAAGGGACAGCAAGGTCAGCCCAGAACTTACAAAAATTGCTATAATTAAAAAAGTGCTAATAATAATAACACTGGCCAACACACGTTTTGGTGCCTCAAATGTTAGCCCTGTTTCTGGGTATATCTGAACTGCTGATTCTAAAAAACGATAAATAAATAAACAAGCATTCCCCAATCAGCTCTTGTTTTTGAGATATATGCCAGTCTTTATCTGCTTGTCCACAGAAAACTAGAATAATCCTAGCCCTTCCACACAGTCATACAACCTAGAACAGGGGTCCTCAAACTAAGGCCTGAGGGCCAGATATGGCCCTCCAAGGTTATTTACCTGGCACTCACTTGGGGTCAACCTAAGTCTGAAATGACTTGAAAGCACACAACAACAACAACAACAACAACAATAATCCCATCTCATCAGCCAAAAAGCAGGCCCGCACTTCCCATTGAAATACTAATAAGTTTATATTTGTTAAAATTGTTCTTCTTTTTAATTATTGTATTATTTTAAGTGGGTTTTTTGCACTATAAATAAGATATGTGCAGTGTGCATAGGAATTCATTAATGCTTTTTCAAATTTTAATCCGGCCCTCCAACAGTTTGAGGGACTGTGACCTGGCCCTCTGTTTAAAAAGTTTGAGGACTCCTGACCTAGGATATGAAGGCTGAAATTTCTACAATATCTGCTTCGAATTGAGTTATCTGAGTCCACACTGCCATATATTCCAGTTCAAAGCAGATAATGTGGGATTTTATTCAGGTGTGTGGAAGGGGCCCAAGATTATTATTATTGTCCAAGAAACCCTATGAAATTCCGCACTCTGTGGTCTGCACACACAAATCCGAGAATGGCCCTTTGACTCTCCTTATCTTGGCATCGCATTATATGAACTGAGATCGAAGTAGACCCATTTCTCCCTCCCCATCTCCCCTACCCACCCCCTCCCTAGAAAAGTCCAGTAGTTGTGGGTATATTGCACCTGGTTTATTGGATCCTTTAACTCCTTGCAGCAGTGGTTATATCGATACATGGGATAAGATACAGAGGAAGTGGGGACTGGGCAGCCCATTTCCTCCACAAAAACCTTGGAAGGGCACAAAGGCAGCTTTCTTGAGGGTGCAGCCGGGCCTTTTTCGGAGGCCCTGTGGCACAATGAGTTCAATCTTTGTGAGCTCCCCTTTGTCAGCTCCAGCTTCTAATGCAGAGACATGAGAGAAGCCTCCCACAGGACTGTAAAACATTCAGGTGTCCCCTGAGCAACGTCCTTGCAGACAGCCAATTCTCTCACACCAGAAGAGACTTACAGTTTCTCAAGTCGCTCCACGAAAAGGGGTTGGGAGAAGTCTCCCTCCAAGGAAAGTCATGGGGAGAAAGAAGCCCAGGCCCAGGAAGTGTCCTCCAGTGGGTCATCCTTTGGCCTTTTCCTTCCGAGTCAGCTTCCTTCCCTTTGCTGGGCTAGGAGAAGTCTTCCTACATGGAAAGTCATGGGGAGAAAGCAGCCCAGACCCAAGAAGCGTCCTCCTGTGGGTCATCCTTTGCCGGATTTAGGACAAATGGGGGGCCCTATGATGGTTAAGTTATGAGGCCCCTTGGGCCCTGAAAGAAGTGGGGCCCTTAGGCCTACCCTGCCTGCTTTGTGGCACACTCCCATAGACTATCAGCTCTATCATTGTGTCTGGAATCACTGGAACCAGAACGCTTTCCAATTTGGAATCGCACCAGCTAAGGCGAGTGCAATGGGTTGCTCCAGGCAGTCATGCCGGCCACATGACCTTGGAGGTGTCTACGGACAACGCCGGCTCTTCGGCTTAGAAATGGAGATGAGCACCACACCCCAGAATCGAATACGACTGGCCTTCATGTCAGGGGAAAACCTTTACCTTATTTTACTGACAGAACTGCTGACCAAAAGGGGAGCGAATGAGCTCCCGTCTGCGGGGACATGAGAGAAGCCTCTCATAAGGATGGTAAAAGATCTGAGCGTCCTCTGGGCAAGGTCCTTGAAGACAGCCAATTCTCTCACACCAGAAGCGACTTGCAGTTTCTCAAGTCGTTCCTGACACGAAAGAAGAAGAGCAGAATGGTCAATCCGGCATTGGTGGGGGGCCTTGCTCCTCCAGGCCCCTCTTTCTCTGTCTCTCTCTCTGCCTTCCAAAAGGGTCCCCCTTGGCCCGGATGGCGGGCTACCAGGCTCGGATGCCTTGGCCGCAGGGAGGCCCCGCAGGGCCCTGGTGCAAGGGCTGGGCGCCGCCGGAGGAGAAGCCTGCCATGTTCACGTAGGCGCCTGCACCCGTGGGCGCCTGCACCGAGGGCCCCCCTCCTCCTCCGCCCCCTCCTCCTCCTCCGGAGGGGTAACTGCAGCTATATCCCCCTCCTCCATAGGCGGCGGTGGCTCCTCCATAGGCGTATCCAGGAAAGCCGCTGTAGGGATAAGAGGCCGCGGCGTGGTAAGGCGCGCCGTAGCTCTGCGAGGAGCCGCTGCCGCCCAGGCAGGGCTTGCCGTCGCGCACCAGAACCGGGACGGCCACGCGGCGGGGAGGCAGCGGAGCCAACGGCGACAAAGGCGAGGGCTGCTGTGGCTGCGAGGAGGAGGAGGAGGAAGAGGACGAAGGCGGCGGCGGGGGCTGCGCGCCTCCCATCTCCAGAGCTCTGTCCTGCCGCTGCCGCTTGCACTTGTAGCGCCGGTTCTGGAACCAGATCTTGACCTGCGTGGAGGTGAGCTTGAGGCTGCCGGCCAGGAGCTCCCTTTCCGGCGCCGAGAGGTAGCGCTGCTGCTGGAAGCGCCGCTCCAGCTCGAAGACCTGCGCCTGCGAGAAGAGCACGCGCGGCTTCCGGCGCCCACGAGCCTTGCGACGCTCCGCCGCCTCGGCCTCCGCCTCCGAAGGGTCCTTCCCTGCAAAAGGAAGGCAGAGACATGGAGACAGCGCGCCGAGGAGGAGGAGGAGGAGGAGGAGGAAGAAAATAGGAAGATCCTTCTCTCCCTCCCCGTGGCCTACCATATAGCACCATATAGCCCCCGGTGGCGCAGTGGGTTATACCCCTGTGCCGGCAACACTGAAGACCATGAGGTCAGGAAGAGTTGGAAGCAACTAAACGAATAAACAGCATTTTTATGTATATATTTGGACTTGGGTTTTTTTTATACTTTTTGCTAAATTGCTTTTCATATATATTCTTCAATAAACTGCTTTGCTATTTTACCTTGGGCTGGAGTGTGTGTCAAGTACAGAGGTGGTTCCCAGCCTTGGAGTGCAAAATGGACATATCATGAGAAGGCAAGGCTCACTACAAGACATTATACTGCAGTGCTTGGTAAGGAAGAAAGCAGTAGGAAAAGAGGAAGATTGCATGAAAGATGGATAGATTCAGCACATGACCCCGAGCCTGCAAGACTCCAGGGCTGTGGATGATGAGTTGACTTGTTGGTCTCTCATACATAAAGTTGCCATAAGCCAAAGTTGACTTGTTGGCAGTTTACAACAACAGCAACGAATTTCTACCAGGTTAAGGTAGAGTCAAATCTCAATTGGCCTGGTAAAGTTTCCTATCACTGCCTTATTGTACTGTCCCGAAAGCTTGGTCCCACCGCCAAATTTTTACCATCCTTCTGAAGGACAGGAGGGAGGGGGCCAATCTGATCTTACCAGGAAGGGAGTTCCATAGCTGGGGGCAATCACCGAGAAGGCCCTGTCTCTAATTCCCACCAGTCACGCCTGTGACAATGGCGGGATGGAGAGCAGGGCCTCCCCAGAGGATCATAGGGGAGGTGTTCGGACCTAGATGTGTTCGGACAGGTAATTGGGCCTTTCGGACAGGTAAGTCAGCCCAGGGCGTTTAGGGGTTTATAGGCCAAAGCCAGCACTTTGAGTTGTGTCAGGTAGCAAACTGGCAGCTAGTGGAGCTGTCCTAACATGAGAGTTTTAGGATTATAGGAGCCCCCACTGCCAGATAATCTGGGATAAACAGAAAACCTGGGATCAGATCCTGGGCTAGAGGGCCTGTATGGAAGGGCTCTAGGACAAGACACTTTGCTTCTAAACTTAGATTTGTGGCAAACTTATGACTGAGAGACCTACAAGTATTGGACCTATCCATCTTTAGTGCAGTCTTCCTCTTTTCCTACTGCTTTTGTCCTTACCAAGAACTGTAGTACAATACTTTTCTTGTCCTAGAAGAAAGAGGCTACTTTTTCTTCTCCCAGAAAGAAGGGGATAGTGGGTTGCTGTGAGTTTTCCGGGCTGAATGGCCATATTCAAGAAGCATTCTCTCCTGACGTTTCTCCCATATCTATGGCAAGCATCCTCAGAGGTGGTGAGGTCTGTTGGCAACAAGGCAAGTGGAGTTTATATATCTGTGGAATGTCCAGGATGGGAAAAAGAACTCTTGTCTGTTTGAGACCAGTGTGAATGTTGCAAAAGAAGGGGGATACTTTCTCTAGTCCCAGAAGAAGGGGGGCACTTTCTCTTGCCCTAGAAGAGGGAGATACTTTCTCTAGTTCTAGAAAAGGGGGGTTCTTTAAGTCTGTGTTTCTAAGGCCGTGACCCCTTAATACAGTTCCTCATGTTGGGGTGACCCCCAAACATAACATTATTTTCATTGCTGCTTCATAACTGTAATTTGCTACTGTTATGAATGATAATGTAAATATCTGGCACAAACACCCGTTATGCCCAAATTTGAATACTGGTGGGGTTTGTGTGTGTGTGTGCATGTGGGGGGGTTGGGTTGATTTTGTCATTTGGGAGATGTAGTTTCTGGGATTTATAGTTAAACTACAATCTACAAAGAGCATTCTGAACTCCACCAACGATGGAATTGAACCAAACTTTGCACATAGAACTCCTATGACCAACAAAAAATACTGGAAGGGTTTGATGGGCATTGACCTTGAGTTTGGGAGTTGTAGTTCACCTACATCCAGAAAGCACTGTGGACTCAAACAACGATGGATCTGGACCAAACTCGGCACGGATACTCAGTGTGCCCAAATGTGAACACTGGTGGAGTTTGGGGAAAACAGACCTTGACATTTGGGAGTTGTAGCTGCTGGGATAGTTCACCTACATCAAAGAGCATTCTGAACCCCACCAATGAGAGAATTGGGCCAAACTTCCCACACTGAACCCCCTTGACCAACACAAAATGCTGTTGGTCATGGGGGCTATCCCTTTGAACCCCCCCCCTTGCGACCCTCCCAGAGGTCCTGACCCCCAAGTTGAGAAACGCTGCTTTTTGTAGTCCCAAAAGAAGGGGAATACTTTCTCTTGCCCCAGAAGACGGGGATACTTTCTCTAGTTCTAGAAGAGGGAGATACTTTTTTGCCTTGTCGCCCTCTTTCCTCAGGCCTGGGATGATGAGGGTCTCAGGCAGGTCCGGATCAGGGCACTGGCTATGAGGGTGGGCAGGCAAGGGAGGCTCCGCGAGAAGACCACCAACCCCACGTCTCCAAGCCACTTACCGACCCCGGGCTCCGTCGCCTTGGCCTCTCCCTCGTCCTCCGAGGCCTGCGCGAAGCTCCCGTGGCTGGGGGCCTTGTCCGGGGGTCCCGCCATGGGGCAGCTCAGGAAGGGCAGCCTCTCCTCCTCGTCGTCCTCGTCGTCCTCCCCGTCGGAGAAGCGGCAGCCCTGGAGGAAGGCGGCGACGGGGAAGAAAGAAGCCTGGAAGGGAGCTTCTAGACGCTGCTGCTCCCGCCGGAGGATGTCCTTGACCGAGAAGGGGGTGGAGGTGGCGGGGCTGGGGAGCATCCTGGGCCCGGAGAGGGGCGCCCGGCAGGCTTAAGGGGCTTCCATATCCTCCGCCTTCCCTCGACTCTGGCGGGCTCTCTGCCGGGGTCGGAGCCGCCTCTGCCCCACTCGTCACGGGCGCGAGGGGCCGGGCTGAGCCCCCATTGGAAGGCCGCCCAGGCTGAGCCGCCCCTTGAGACACCCGGGGCGGAGGAGGGGGCCCCACGGTGCTGTGGGGAGGGAAGGGTCGCAGGAAGGCTGGATCCCAAGTCAGGGATGGGGCAGAAATGGAGCCCAGACGCCCTCCCACCCATGACCACCCCAGCCCCGCCTTTTCCTGGCCCACGGCGTCGCCACTCCCTTCTCTGCAAAACTGGCTCTGGTCGTCCCTTCGGGAATAAGGGTTGCTTGCAAAAATATGAAACTCCCGAGGGCAGGGGAAGGAACGGGAAGGAAAAGCAGGTAAGGCGCCGAAGGAAGCGGCAGAGATTGACGGATTAGAAAGGAAAACCCCGTTTGGGTTGGAAATGGGAGTGGAGTGGGGATGGCAGGCAGGCAGAGTGGAAGCAATCTGACCAAATAAAACTATAATTTCCTGCCTTGATGTTCTGGGTCATATGACTGTGTGGAAGGATCCCCAGCTGGGACTATAACTCCCAGAAACTTTCAGTAACAGAGTTGTAGTCCTTAAAATAAACTAGTGTCCTATAGGTCATGTTTTGAAAGACTACGAAGCTGTGGGCTCTTCCACGCAGCCCTATACCCCAGAATATCAAGGGAAAAAATCCCACGATATCTGCTTTGAACTGGGTTACCTGAGGCCCCTTCCACGCAGTTTTCTGCTTTGAACTGGAATATTTAGCAGTGTGGACTCAAGATAGTTAAAAGAAGATACTGTGGGATTTTCTGCCTTGATATTCTGGGTTATATGACTGTGTGGAAGGGCCCTAAATCCACATTCAGATACTGTGGGATTTTCTGCCTTGATATTCTGGGATACAGGGCTGTGTGGAAGGGCCCTATGTTATGCGACATCACATTGATTTTATTATCTCTCCGAAATCTCTCTTTCTCACTGTAGAATTAATGCAGTTTGGCATCATTTTAGCTGTCATGGCCTAATGCTATGGAATGCTGGAAGTTATAGTTTGGAGAGGCACTATTTGACAGAGAAGGCTGAAGGTCTTCTCAAACTACAACTCCCTCTTATCCGGGGAGCGAGGTGAGCTCCCGCTATTAGCGCCTGCTTCTGCTAACCTAGAAGTTCGAAAACATTCAAGTGAGCAGATATTAGAGACAAAGATGAAGTACTTTGGACACATAATGAGAAGACAGAAAAGCTTGGAGAAGATGATGATGCTGGGGAAAATGGAAGGAAAAAGGAAGAGGGGCCGACCAAGGGCAAGATGGATGGATGGCATCCTTGAAGGGACTGGCTTGACTTTGAAGGAGCTGGGGGTGGTGACGGCCGATAGTCGGAAACGACTGAACGAATGAACAACAACAAAGTGAGCAGGTGAATAGGCACCGCTTCAGCGGGAAGGTAACGACGCTTCATGCAGTCATGCCGGCCATATGACCTTGAAGGTGTTTAGGGACAACGCCAGGCTTTCTGGCACCAACCTCCAGAGTCCGACACGATTAGACTTAATGTCAGGGGAAAGCCTTTACCTTTACTTACGGCAGTTAAAGCAGTGTCGAACTGCATTAAATCAACAGATGCACCCTCTACTCCTTCTTTTCTATCGTGTGTGATTTTCTGAAGCTGTTGCTGTCAGTGCGCTTTTGTTGGTAGCCGTTACAATGACTAGCTTAAATAACTTGAAACGGGTCAGATAGAGCCATTGCAGAAAGAGAGGGCCTTGGTATTATGGAGGTAAGATTCAACTGTCAATCCTGTCCCTTTCTTTCTGGAGAAGGGAAGAAGGCAGAGGGGCATCCTTGCTTCAACATGCCTTGGGCTCCCTCTGATTGCAGGTGGGACTTGGAGCCTGAGTTTAGCTTTCCTGTTTAAAATTTCTCTAGCGGCTCTTAAATGGTGTAACTTCATGAGACAGAGTGTAGACTCGAAACGAAGGGGACAAAAACGACATGTCTGTTATAAATATTTGTATTTTAATGCATTGTCGAAGGCTTTTATGGCCGGAATCAGTGGGTTGTTGTGAGTTTTCCGGGCTGTATGGCCGTGTTCCAGAAGCATTCTCTCCTGACGCTTCGCCTGCACGTGGCCAATTTCAACAGAAAGGAAGAAATCATGAAAATGAACAAAATCTGGCTACCGATATTTTTTTAAAAAACCTCTAAAATCATAACAGTAAATAAAGAACAACACTAAAAAACAGGGGGATTCCAGGCAAGAAACAATCAGGGCCAACTAATCACCTCCCAACAAAGGATTCCCCCAGGCAGTAAGAATCCAGACCTTGAAAACCGCTTGGTCATTCAATGCTAATCAAGGTGGTCTATTGCAACATTCATACTTGCCTCAAACAGACAAGAGTTCTTTCTCCCATCCTGGATATTCCACAGATATATAAACCTCACTTGCCTAGTTTCCAACAGATCTCACAACCTCTGAGGATGCCTGCCATAGATGTGGGCGAAACGTCAGGAGAGAATGTTTCTGGAGCATGGCCATACAGCTCGGAAAACTCACAACAACCCTATTTGTATTTTATTTTGTTTTATTTATAGGTATATGTAGTATGTGAATGGATAGCCCGTCTTTTTATTATTATTTATTTTACCAAATGATGCTCAAGGCAGCTAAGGTCGGGAATATAATAAAACAAACTCGGATCTACTCGCCATAGAACACTACATAAACATAAGAGCAAGGCAGACACCAGCAGCAATAAAAGCAACCACTTAAAAAGCAGTGATACCCTATGTACAAACTAACATTATGTTAAAAGACTATATAATCAGAGACTATATCATCAGAGACAAAACAAATAACTGGCAGAGCTCACTTGGCAGTTTCCAAGTTTCTAGTAGCAAAGGGTGCCTCTAAACCAGGTTTGTGCAAACTTGGGCCCTCCAGGTGTTTTGGATTTCAACTCCCAGCATTCCTAACAGCCTCAGCCCGGGTTAACTGAGACCACACTGGCATATATTCCAGTTCAAAGCAGATAATGTGGGATTTTATTCAGCTGTGTGGAAGAGGCCTCATTCACTGCAGAACTAATGCAGCTTAACACCACTATGACTTCCTAATATTAACTGTGAAAAACTAACAATCTTGCACGCACATTGAAATGGTTCCCTTCCGAGCTCTAAGTATTTACATAATCCCAATATTAACTACCATGCCTGGATGCTGTGAAAGCTGGGAATTATAGTTTTACAGGATCTATATCAAATAGTAGTGATGCCCCACCAAACCTATATTTTAATCGCAGTTAAAATGGAGTCAAATTGCATTAATTGTACAATATAGATAGGCATATCTATATTGTACAATATAGATATGCCCTACACAGATATGCCCTACACTGTAGAGAATGAATGCAATCTGACATCACTTTAACTGCTATGGCTCAGTGATATGCAACAGTGGGATCTGTAGTTTGCTATGGCATAGAATGCTAAAGACCTTCCAAAACTACAACTCCCAGGATTCTATAGCACTGAGTCCTGGTCGTCAAAGTGGCGTGAAGCTACATTAATTCTACAGTGAAGCCTAGACTGACATATTGGCGAGACAGAAAATCAAACACACACCTTCAGGGGTTTCAAGGAGGGAAGGCCCCATCCAGGTGTATTTCAGGTAAACCAAGTCTCAAGAAGGTGGAAGCAGGGAAGAGTGCAACATCTGCACTTCCAGCCTGATGCTATTTGGGTGGGATGATATTTGAGATCGGATTTCCTATTAGGAGGAGGAATGGAACATAGAGAAAACAATATGTGGACACATAGGGTGGCTGTTGTTATGTGGCTTCAAGTGAACTCTGAATTGAGGTGACCATATCCTAAGGTTTTTTTATTGGCAAGATTTTGATTTGCCTTCCTCTGAGGTCGAGAGAGTGTGACTTGCTCAAGGTTTTAAACAGAGGCTGGATGGCCATCTGTGGGGGGGGGGGAGGGGGCTTTGAATGCGATTTTCCTGCTTCTTGGCAGGGGGTTGGACTGGATGACCCATGAGGTCTCTTCCAACTCTAGGATTCTATGATTCTATTATTCTAAGGTCACGCAATGGGTTTCCAGTATGGCCTAGTTGGGGATTCTTTTGTCTCAGGGAGTTTTAGTTCTACATACAAAACTCCAGAACCAAGTTGACCCAATAACAACAATACAACAATTTGCAACTCTTAGCTTTGTGTTCAACAAGACTAACCCCTCCTTAACCACCTTTCCAGTTTTTCCCCCCTTTGATAGTCGGCAATTAATACAAATATTGGGTTTTTGTGAGTTTTCCGGGCTGTAGGACCATGTTCTAGAAGCCATACAGCCCGGAAAACTCACAGCAAACCGGTGATTCTGGCCATGAAAACCTTTGATAACACAATATAAATATTAATGTAAGATATGATATGATATCTATTAGAATGGGTCCATGTAGTACTCTGACGTCAACACTCTGATTCTCGACCCTTAGGCCCCTTCTACACTGCTATATAATCCAGATTATTAAAGCAGATAATCAACATTATCTGCTTTGAACTGGATTGCATGGAGCCCCCTGTAGCGCAAAGGGTTAAACCCTTATGCCGGCAGGACTGAAGACCGATAGGTCTAAAGTTCGAATCCGGGGAGAGCGCGGATGAGCTCCCTCTGTCAGCTCCAGCTCCCCGTGCGAGGACATTAGAGAAGCCTCCCACAAGGATGGTAAAACATCAAAAACATCCGGACGTCCCCTCGGCAAGGTAAGGAAGGCCAATTCCCTCACACCAAAAGCGACTTGCAGTGTCGCTCCTGACACACACATGAATCTACACTGCCATGTTATTTAGTTCAACGCCGACAGTCTAGACTTTATATGGCAGTTTAGAAAGGGCATTACAGTAACTATTTCGGAACCC